CTTCGCACACTCTTTTCCAACTAATCTAACCTCAATTGATGGTTAAATGAAACAAAATGTCTATTTTGTCTCGACCTTTTCCGATTTGAATAAAATTTTGCTTATATGTTCATTACAATCCAAGGTTGCATTTTCATTAAAATATGATTATTATTCTCCAGAGTAAATTTTGAAAACGACGTTCCTTAAAAATGGATTTTATTTTTCCAAAAAATCAATTTTTATTTGACGTTCCAGAGAAAATTGCAATGTGGTGCTGTTGTTTCTTTGCAAATTATCGCACAACTCCCGACAGCCGTGATCGTCTAGTGGTTAGGACCCTACGTTGTGGCCGTAGTAACCCAGGTTCGAATCCTGGTCACGGCAATGATTGACATTGTCACGGAGGGAGCTTTTTAGGATGATAGTAGAACATAATTTCATAACATGGCACAATAGATACGAATGAGAGAGAATGAAAGAAATTTTCCGTTATAATATGACGCAATAGATGATATGAAAGAGCTCTTTATCATGTTCCTACAATCTACTTTACCGTTATACCGAAAAGAATGTTAGGAAATGAATTTCGCAACATGACGGAATAGACGGGGCTATAAATAGAAACGGTCGGACATATTCGCGTTTCATTGTTTTTAATTACTTTAATTACACTAATTGCAATTTTAATTACATTAATTACGTGGCTGGATTACATATCAAGAACAACATGTGAAAAGGGCATACAAGCTTTTTGTAAACAAACCTTCTTATGCCCTTTTCTCGCCACCCATATGACATCAACGCAAACCATTAACATTAGCGGGTAGGGAAAGCTTTCCCCTTCCCGATGATGTTGTTGGTTTCCGTGGGCGACCCTCGGTTGGCGAGAAAAGGGCATACAAAGGTTTGATATCATATTTTAATTACTGTAATTTTACCAACACAGTGTTAATTACACGATTTCAAATTTAATTACTGAACAACTCAATAATATTTTTTTGTTACGTAATTACTATGTAAGTTTAAGTTTTGAACTTTGGACTTTTTTAATCCAACGCAGTCGAGAAGGCCATTGATATTGTGGATGAAATTTACTACTGTTGCAATTTTAGATAAAATTGAATTTATTTAAAAAAAAACTTCAAGGGATAAATAGTAATAGTAACGCATTGAGTACAATTTAACCCCAACTGATTGTAGATTGTTTGTTCTCGTAGCGATGGAGAATTGAATTTCACAATATGTCGCAACAAGCGAGGTAAAAATACCACAAAGCCTAACCTCACTCGCTTATCGAATTAATGCATATGGTGAAATACAGTTGATTTTGAACTTGTAAGTAAACTCGCTTGGTTTTCATTTGAGGTTAGAGAGAAAAAGCGTTCACGTTGCCGGTTGCATTGTGTTGCCGTTTATTTGCACATAAACTCACAACTCCTGACAGCCGTGATCGTCTAGTGGTCAGGACCCTACGGTGTTGGCCGTAGTAACCCAGGTTCGAATCCTGGTCACGGCAATGATTCCACTCATTGTCACGGAGGAAGTTTTTTTGCGGTGAGCAAATACTGCGGTTTTTGTAATACATAGATATTACAAATTTATGAACTAGGGTAAACGCACCAATAGTGGAGGTACGTTAGTGCAATGTTTTCCTATAGTGGCTTATAGAGACTTCATAAGCCACTATAGGAACACATTGCACTAACGTACCTCCACTATTGATGCATTTACCCTAGTGATTTTATTACTGATGAGGATTTGCATGACTAAAGATTTGCTAAATCGATTCTGAAAACATTCCTAACTTAAAATCCTCAAAAAAAAACTATAAACATTAGGATGGGTCATCATGATCATTTTTTTCAGAACAATGTTTTTTTGGTTCCATTTGGGGTCCCAAACAATTATGCAAAACTTGGGGAAGATTGGTTGTTACCCGGCTTTCCGCATTGCGTTAGAAATTTGTATGGAAATTAGTATGGGAAAACCTACTTTTTTGCATCCCTAGTAAGACCACAATTTTGCAATTTTAGCCCAGGAAGTACCTAACAACTTTGCCAAAGAATGTATTGTTCTAGAATGAGCCTAATAAAAGTTATAGCTGTTCGAAGATCACTGTTTCGAATTAAATGCCAAAAATCCCTTTTTCTGCCAACACTGGTGGTGACCAATGAAAGTCAAACTCCAAACTGAAATAATTTCGAAGTTGATTATTTTATCGGTTTGGAATGTTCAGATGAAATATTCAAAAACAATAGATCTATCTCATATGCGTAGTAGGAGGTAGGGGGGGGGGGGGGTTGTCACTCATATCAATAGAAATAAAGTTTCAAACTGAAATAACTTCGGAGTTTAGCGACGCCGGTGGTGTAGTGGTAAGCGTGATTGCCTCTCACCCCAACAGGCCTGGGTTCAATCCCAGTCGGCGCCGCCGGGATGTTCTGAGGCATAACATCTCTGATCACGCCTTCCTTAAAGTAAAGCCATTGGTCCCCGGTTCATGAGTTGATGGATCGATAGGTAGGGTCCAGGTGTGGGAGCTGCCTCCCTGGCGTCGGTAGCATTGGTGCTCAGCACGGAAAACAAGATCGACGGAAAACAAATCAAGGAAACTTCGGAGTTTCTTATCTTATCGATTTGGTATGTTCATATAAATTATTCAAAAACAATTTTTCAATCTCATAGGCATATTAAGAGATGATGGGGGGGGGGGCTAACTATACCCCGCCCCCTTCACTCATATAAATGGAAGTAAAGCTTCAAACTGCAATAACTTCGGTGTTTCTGATCTTGTCAAGCTGGTATGTTCAGATATATTCAAAAGCATGTGCTACATATAATAGGCGTAGTTAGATATGGGGGGTAGCTTACTGTATCCTTTCTGCCCCTTACTTATATCAATGAAAGTAAACATAAAGACTAAAATAACTTCGGAGTTTCCCATCTCTCAAGTTATTTTGATGGGTTATTCAACAACATTTGCTCAATCTCATAAGAGCAGTTTGGAAGCGAGTACCCCCATTCCCTTCCCTACTCTTTTGGTGCAGTATACAATGTCAGATATATTCACACAAATGTCATTGGATTGTAAAAATTATATTTCATTTTATTATATTCTACGATTTCTCAAGGTACTATTTTCGATGCTGTTCCATCCCCTGAAGCAAATATTGCTGTTGAACTAGGCCTCTTGTCAGAAATCAGTTCCACACCTCATTCAGCCATATCGTTGACAACCATCAAGGAAGCAACTCGTTGTATCGCATTGAAATAATCTGTATCATTACTCCACTCGTTTGCCGGTTTTTGCATGAATCCGGTCGAAATTTCGAAAAGGAATCAGCACTGTTAGAATTGACGTTTGACTTGGGAGCCCAACTGAAACGTAGCCCACTTAAAGTTAGCCCAACAAGCGAAATCCGACTGTACCTGTGTCTGAGACGAAACTGGTGGTTTCCGTTTTCTATTATTCTTTTTTGACGTACGACTACTTCTGTGTTTTCTAAATGTGGGTGGCTCGAATGGCAGTTTAATATTTCAAATAAATGCTTTATATACAAATAATACAGCAACTGGACTAATAATTCAAACAACATCTCCTCACTAACAAATGAACGGACAAATATTTAATATTATATTAAATATTTACACTACAACAATTTTCGTTTTAAAACTTCTTACAGAGTACCCCCCCAACCCCCGATTTCTAACTACGCTTATGAGATTGAGCAAATATGTTTGAAGAATTCATCCTGAACATACCATTTCGATAAGATAAGAAACTCCGAAGTTATTTCAGTTTGAGACTTTACTTCTATTGATATGAGTGAGGGGGCGGGGTATATTATTGCCCCCCCTCTCAAACTACACATATGAGATAGAGTAATTGTTTTTGAATAATTCATAAGAAACTCCGAAAATATTTCAGTTTGGAATCTGAATCCCATTGGTACACCGGCAGTGTTGGCAGAAAAAGGGATTTTTTTTGTGTTTAATTCAAATCATAAATATTTGAATAGTTATACCTTTTTTTAGATACATTATAGCTTCAAACTTCCTTTGACAAAGTTCATGCAAAATTGTGGTCTCTAGAGATAAAAATGCAAAATGATATTCCCATACTAATTTCCATACAAATTTCAAACGCAATGCGAAATGCCGAGTTACAACCAATCGTCCTTAAATTTTGTTTGGGACCCCAAATGAAATCAAAAAAGGTTGTTCTCGATTGGTGAGGTAACGTTTACGTTTTTCCATATAACGATGACCCACTCTAATAAACATTTTTTTTTATAATATTGCATGTTATTCATGTTCAGTGGAACGATAATGATCCTACTGCAAACATCCGTATCCTTCGAATAAAATTCGTTCAACTGTTATATTTTTTCGACATTGTAAATTTATTTGGTTTTCTCTTTTGTTTGAAATGTGTTATGTCCCGTTTTCGTTAATTTTTTTTAGATACATATGGTGATGGACGATAAATTAAACATATTACTTCGAGTGTTTTCACGTGAGAAATGCTTTAAATCTCGATTACTTTTTCGAAAGGACGTATCAGCTTTTGTAAAGTCTAATCTCAGGCCCATCCACATTAAAGATTCGTTAATCGTTTTATTTGTTATTGTGACTACATGGTAATAACAGCAACTCGATGATTAAAAAGGAGCTCGTTTACCTAGTGGCAAACGTTTTTGCTATATTACGTGTAATCTGGACCCTACCTATCGGACCCATCAACTCATGAACCGGGGACCAACGGATCAGAGATGTTATGCCTCATAATATCCCGGCGGCGCCGACTGGGATTGAACCCAGGCCTGCTGGGGTGAGAGCTAATCACGCTTACCATAAAACCTGCTATTTCGTTAAAGTAGAATAGTTATACAAGCCATACCAAAAACGATTCGTTATTGTACAATAATGTCTTCCCTTTGTGAATATATGTCCAACAGTCTACTATTTATTCGTAGTTGAAACTTTCTAAATCATGCTTTCCTTCCCTCTTCACGTAGTATTTTCCAAAATGGGTCGCACCCAATTTGATGACATTTGCCGGTTTCCTCTTCACGGTGGCAAACTTTGTGATGCTGTCTTGGTACGACTGGGGCTTCTGGGCTAGTACGGACTGTGAAGACTGCACACCGATCCCCAACTGGTTTTGGGTGCTGGCGGCAGTGAATATTTTCCTAGCATACACACTGGATGGCATTGATGGTAAACAGGCCCGCCGGATAGGGCTGTCTGGACCACTGGGCGAGCTGTTCGATCACGGGTTGGATTCTTATTCGGCGTTTTTCATTCCTGCCTGCTTGTACAGTATTTTCGGACGAGGGGATCTGTCGGTGCCGCCGATCCGTATGTACTACATCATGTGGACGATATTTTTCAACTTCTATCTTTCGCACTGGGAAAAATACAATACGGGTGTGCTGTACTTGCCCTGGGGATACGATCTAGGAATGTGGGTGAGTATCGAAATAGGTGTGGGATACAGAAGGACGTTCTAATTAATTTTTCAAAACTTTTTTAGGGATCGGTGCTAATGTACCTCGCCACATGGCAGTACGGGTATCAGATGTGGAAGACGGAACTGCCTTGGAGCATCTCTGCTGGTCAGCTGATGGAACTTTGTTTGCACGTTAGTGCAATGTCCAACTTGCCGATGGTGGTGTACAACATGTACAGATCGTACAAGGATCGCACCGGAAAGATGCGTACGATGAAGGAAGCATTACGGCCTCTTTTCACTTATGGAACGTTCATGTTTGTGTCGCTTCTGTGGGTGTTCATATCTCCGAATGATATTATGAACCGGGACCCTCGTGCGGTCTACATTCTTAGCGGGACAATTTTTAGTAACATAAGTGTGAGTAACGGATGAGCTCGAATTACATTTGGACGATCAATAACTGCTGTGTATTTGTTCTAGTGTCGACTCATTGTATCTCAGATGTCTAACACCATCGCCGAAACTTTCAACGGAATGACTGGAGTGTTGTGTGTCGCTGTTCTGATGAGCATTTCAATGCCTGCCATTGAGCGCCCTGTCTTGTACCTGCTAGTGATTGGCAGTTCCTTAGGCCACTGGCATTACGGATCCGTTGTGGTGAGTTTAATTTTACAACGCAGTTTTTTATAAATCTAATGGTCATGCAAACTTCTTCTTTTTAAGGTGCAACAAATGTGTGAGCATTTCAACAGGATATGCTTCAAAGTGACAAAGCCAAAGGAAATCAAACAGTAAGCTTCAAGTCAGTTTTTTGGCGTGACTCTGATCGCAGCGTATCAGTAAGATTAACAAAGCAGCATCACATTTAATGTATAAAAAAAGAAGTTAAATTGTATAGATAGGACGCGTATACAAAACAAAAGTGACCACCACCCTAATTAAGCATAATTTATTTTAGCAGTTAAAATGTTACGGCATAATTTTGCTCTTAGTTGTTCAAATTAATTGAAGCTAACTTTGCATTTATAGTAGATACCTATGAATTACCTCACCGAATTTCGTTCGTTCTCGATATCCACACTAGAACTACTCTCGAAATGTTGATGCTTAATTTTCCCTTTATTCCAAAGAGTTACTACACCCAAGGTAACACAAATTAGCCATAACGATAAACGTGCGATTATTTTTTTTAACATGGACATGACGATCATCTCGACAATAAGGAAAGGAACACTGCTTAACAGATGAAAAAAATAACTTACAGCTAGATATCGCAACAAAATTTAGTAGGGAACAAGTGTTTATAGTATTTATATTTCTCTTGTGATTCGTAGAAAATTAGTTAGCAAGATTCATTTCGCTTGATTATTGCTTATCCTTGAGCCTTCTACTTAATGATTGGTTTTTGGTTATGTGTGCCATTCTAGTTTTCGATATCTTAGTTTCTGTTTTCTTTTAGTTTACTATATTTCAAAATTGTTGTTTTAACCCTATGAAAAGTATATGCTTCCGCCGGAATTTGCGTGTCTAAGATAGAGATGAGATGTGTGCTAAGATATTTGTGGTTATAAATGTGATGCTATAAAAGAACTAATTTGAAGACAAAGTCATATCCACAAGGTGTGTTGTAGATGGAATGGTTGTAAGAAAATATATATATTTGACATGTTGGACACAGGCTAAGAATAAGAGCAAATATGCACCTCTTCCGAAAATAACGTATTCTAATGCTTACATTAGGAATTGATAACTACTTCAACAAACATTCATACGAATACATTCATTGTCTCGATTCTAATGATATGATTCACCTTTCATATGTCTTTTCCTTATTTAGCAGCATAGCATTTCTGTTTAATTGAGAATAAAACGCAAACGCTTATTATCATTAGAGGTATTATCCACAGGGATGATGCCCACTTTCCCAAACAATACTATCCGCAGCTACAGGGAAGAAGTGGGCAATTGAAAATCCTATTGTAGGACGCTGTGTAGTACACAGACTATTCTGATATTGCCGTTTAAACTACTGTATCTACTCTCAAATTAATAATTGTACTGTAAAGAATCAGTTCATGTATATCTGCAAGTGAATAAATCAAACAGAAGAAAACGACAGAGGACATTCGGAGTGCTTTTTAATTACAAATCAGTTATGAAGAATCAATGTTCTCCGTGCAATGTCAATGATGCGTAGTTGCGTTGTGCGTAGTGCGGTTTCTCATACGTTGTGAAGTAATGAATCCTTTGGTAATAGAACACTTTGAGAAGTTGCTCAACCGAAATCCTCAAACAAGATTCATGAGTTTGTACTATGAGTACATGACGCTGGAGGTTGGTCCTTCTTCATGAATCTCCAATCGTGATTACTTTCAAGCCTTCTATAACTGCCCATAATCGCATATCAGTCCCATATGGATAGGAAATCAAGCAAAGATGGGACTGATATGCGATTATGGGTAGTAATAGTTCCTCTGTAAATTTTGATCTGACCATGATGCAAGAAATCCATGGAATACCAGAACACCATCGGTCGATGGTTGTTCCCTCAATTTTGGCAATCAAGTACCACCATGTAAGTAACGATAAAAGATTTTTCACAGATGGGTCAACCATAAATGCTTCCACTGGATTTGGTGTATTTAATCAATTTCATAGCGCCTCCTATAAACTGCAGAAACCATGCTCCGTATACGTTGCGGAACTCGCAGCTATATTTTACGCAGTAGAGCGAATTGCCTCACTACCTTTTGACCATTATTTCATGTTTACGGATAGTCTTAGCTCATTAGCGGCTATTCGTTCAATAAGGCCGATGAAGCACTCCTCGTATTTCCTGTCTGAAATACGATCTAAACTGAGTGCTTTATCCAACTGCTCCTATACTATATCACCTTAGCTTGGGTCCTATCTCATTGCTCAATTCCGGGTAATGAGAAAGCGGACTCGTTGGCTAAGGTGGGCGCAATGGAAGGCGATATTTTTGAGCGACAAATTGCCTTCAACGAATTTTTATCCATTGCTCGTCAGCAAGACCTCATCAGTTGGCAACAAAAATGGAATGATGGTGATTTGGGAAGATGGTTACATTCTATTCTCCCACAGGTGTCGAACAAACCATGGTTCAAAGGGTTGGACATGAGCCGTGATTTTATTTATGTATTTATTTATCACCGTCTTCGACTAGTCGTACAGACTGAACTATTTTACTTATAAACTAGAAATTACTACTAATCCTATTTCTAAAAACGTTTTTAGTCAAGTTAAAATCGAATTCGTCACAGACAACATTGAACAAGCGAAGACACGAATCAAAAGGGTTGTTGTAGCCGTAGTTTGTTCTGTGGTACGGGACTGCTATTAAAGCTGAGCTTCGAAACCGTCGAGGAGGAATGTTAAGCGGGATCTGTGCGAGAAGTTCAGGGCAATCGATAGATCCTCCAATGACATCGAAAATAAATAGCCGCTACATCGTTACTCGTCTGACAGATAGTGGTTCCAATCCTATGAGCTTGCATCGGTCAGAATAAGGAGGAAGATTGGTCGGATCGTTCCAAGGAAGTTGTCTCAGGGCAAACCGTAAGAACCTTTTCTGCACCCGTTCAATCGTGAGAACATGAGCTACATAATAAGGGGACCAAATCGGAGCAGCGTACTCCAGAATGCTACGAACCAACGAGCAAAAGAGAGTTTTTAAAGCGTGGATGTCGGTGAACTCGGAAGCGTGGCGACGGATGAATCCCAGCAGCAGAAAAAGCTTTGGCAGTGGTAATGCTCACGTGTTCGTTGAATCTGAGCCTCGCATCGATGGTAATGCCAAGGTCACAGATGGACGACACACGTTCCAATGATGCAGTTTCCATTCTGTATTGATGAAGAATGGGGTTATTGCAGCGACCGAAGGTAATAACTTTGCACTTCATGTTATTGACCCGCATGCCGTTATCGCCACACCATACCAGTATCAATATCTTCTTGTAGGGCAATACAATCCGGAAGAGAAGCTATGACACGATACATTTTTAGGTCATCAGCGAATGAAAGCTTAAACGAGGAAAGCAGTAGAAACAGGTCATTTATAAAAATGTTGTAGGGGAATGTACGTATTCTCGGCAACCTAAGCAGCGACCTTCTTTCTATAGCCTTTTTCTCTAAGGAACGCACACATATGCAGTATTGGTTTGTTTACAATCTTTTGCTGCCAGCTGCTCTAACAATTTCAGTCGAAAGAATTGTCAAAAACTGTTTTGAAACGCTTTTACAAAGCTCCAATCTTCTCTAGTGAGAGCGAGTATTGTCGGCAACCAGTTTTTCTTCGGCAACCGTTGCATTTGAACTGCATGTAAATCTGCTGTTCTATTATCGGCGAAATCAGCTACAATTTGTAGTGCGTGTGTTGCATTTCAAGAAAACCTTGCTAGATTGCTTTTTCTCAGTGGTAAAAATATAGTCAAATTGAAGCTGAAAGCATAAAGAATCGTTTGCATGCATTCAGCTAAGTGTTTTCGTAAGAAAATCCAGTGAAAATAGTGTTTCAATTTGTGTTGCCGAAAATAGTCTGTCATGCCGAAGCCGTAATTTCCCCTATATTAATGGTCCCAGAACGTTTCCTTGGGGTACACCAGACGTGATTTTGAAAGTGCGGGATCGAGTCGAGTTGACTTTGCTGAGACAGCAAAGTATATATACGCCACAATAATATGTCTCCTGATTACAGTTGCCAGATTTGTGAAAAGGAACGATGCAAGCAGCTTTCCAAGCTGGCGGAAAGGTTCTTTCGTGAAGTGAGCGGCTGAATAAGCGAGCAATTGGGTTCGCTAGTTCTCTTGAACAGTTCTTCAGCAACAGGGGTGGTATTCCGTCCGTCCCAGGTCCTTTTTTGATGTCAAGCTCATCGATGACTTCTACTACTTCTTTTGTTTATTGTTTATTGAAAAATTCAACTGACAATTACTGCCTAAATAAATAAAACTTAAACTAAATAGTTACGGTCAACTGTACGGAAAAGGCCAAGTAGCCGGTGACGAAACACGTCAGCTGATACATTGAAGTCGAACATATAAAAAAAGTTGTTGAATTGCCGGCTGATTGCTCGAATTGGCTCGTGTTGTGTATAATTCCGGCTCCGTGGTTCCAAAAACAGAAAGTCGCGTTGACGAAGAGACCTCTCAGGGGCATACATATTTAGCTGTGACAGCAGTGTTGGGCAGTCTATGTCACCTGTAAGCAGCTTTCCAGCGAACATAGCTTGAGCGACCGTCCGTCTCACCTCTAATGGCTCGATTCCCATGAGACGGCAACGCTCCTCGTACGGTGGCAAGTTCGTTGGGTCACGCCAGTTGAGGAAACGAAGAGCATATCTCACAAACTTGCGTTGAACGGATTCAATTCTAGTGATCCAGCTAGCATGGAAAGGGCACCAAACAACTGAACTTGACTCCAATAAGGATCGCACAAGCGAGCAGTAAAGTGACCTGAGACATAGCGGGTCACGAAACTCGTCGGCAATTTTGAAAATAAAGCCCAATTGTCGATTAGCTCTGGAGATGATGTCATTGTAGTGGATTCTGAAAGTGAGCTTGCAGTCGAAGGTAACGCCGAGATCCTTTATGTGCTCTACACGAGCAAGACAGCGTTCGTAGAGAACATAGTCAAACATGATTGGTTCGATTTTTCGGTGATAGGAAATAATGTTACATTTTTCTATGCTTAGACTCATCAAATTTCTTGAGCACCAGTCAGCAAAAATACCTAACATATTCTGGAGATCCCAGCAGTCCGAGAGGCTTTTAATAATTTTGTAGATTTTCGTATCATCTGCATAGAAAACGCGGCATCCTGATGGTATCAGCAAGGCGACATCGTTTAAAAAGATCGTTAATAGTAGCGGTCCTAGGTTACTGCCTTGCGGGACTCCCGAGTTGTTTGAGAAAACATCCGATTCCGACTCGCCAATCTTGACATGTACATAGCGATTCACTGAACCAATCCACAGCAGTTGACGAGATGCCGAGTATCTCCAGCTTGGCCAGCAAGATATTATGGTCCACCGTGTCAAATGCAGCTTTTAGATCCATATACGCAGTATCGACTTGCCATCCTGAATCCATGCATCGCAGACAGTTAGAAGTGAACTGCACCTGGTTCGTGGACACGGAGCGCTTCGGGTAGAAACCGTGTTGTTCTGTATCGATATAATTTTTGCAGCGTGCGAACAGAGCACCATTTATGATAACCTCGAACAATTTTGAGTAGGCACACAGGGAGGTGATTCCACGATAATTTATGACATTCCGTTTATCTCCTTTTTTGTGCACTGGGAACAGATAAGAAAGTTTCCAGCGGCAGGGGAACTCACATTGCTGTGCCGAGAGATTGAATAGCCTCGCAAGTGGAAGGCAGAGATTGGCTACACAATGTTTTAGAACTGATGACGGAATGCCGTCAGGTCCGGAGGCGAACGAGAGCTTCAGTTTGCGTGTTGCGGCTATCACCATGTCTTCTGAAATGCGCGGAATAACGAAACTAAACACATCACGTGGCATCCCAACAGTAGCATCCAGCTGGCGAAGCGGAGAAATCGTTGACAACTTGCTTGAAATGACGAGCAAACAAGTCGCATTTTTCTCTTTCACCGAGTCATTCCCGAGAAACATGGAACAAGGCAACCCGGATTCCTTCCGTTTGGAGTTGACAAACGACCAAAAACTTTTCGGATTCGTGCGAAGGTTCGCTTCCGTGCGTCTCACGTGTCGATTATAGAGAAAACGATAGCGGAAAACTGAATAACGGGTAGGTTGATGTTGTGTGAAGCAACGTGAGCAAAACAATCGCGCCTTGGTACAGGTGACACTTTACTAAAAACGCTCTCGAAGAACATAGCGAAAAGGTTTGCAGCATCCACATTTGTATTAGCCTGGGCATCATTGAAGGTAACGTTGCATGGGATGCGAGAAGATGCTTGCCGCTTTTTCACGAAATCCCAGAAGCACGATGGGTTTTGTTTTACGCAACTCAACCTTATCCCTCAAGCCTTATACGCGTTATGTCGAGGCTTATGTCCAATCACTGTGCGTTAGACTCGCACTTCTAGCGAATTGGGCTCTCAGGCAGTAATTTATGT